CCCCCGGGGGGGTGGCCACGCCGCAATCCCTTCTCCTCCATTCTCCTCTCAGGATCTTGGGCACACATGCACACACACCCGGCATGAGTTTAAGCCACCAGGTCCGGGACTCGAACCGCGGTCGACTATGTGGGAGTCCAGCAACATAGCCATTATGCTAACTGCTGGTCCCCAGTAACAAATTCTTGAAGTAGAATTTGTGAGATCAAAGAGTATGTACTAGTTGTGATTAAGTGTTGTCAAATTATCCACCAGAAAGATTGACCAGTTTATCTTCCTATGAACAGTGTATGAGAGGAAAATGTATTTTTCCTTTTTTTCTTTTTTTTTTTTTTTTTTTTTTTAATTTGCTGTAGAGTGTATGTGCTCTCTAGAGAGAGAAAGAGAGAAAGCACCCCTAGGGGGATGGCTATACCACAATCCCTTCTCCTTTGGGGATTGTTGGGCTCACATGCTTATATACCTGGCGTGTTCATCAAGCTTCCAGTTCTAGGATTCCAACCATACTGTCACCCATGTGGAAATCAGCCACCTTAACCACAAAACTGGCCAACTAGCCCAAGAGTAAGACTTTTTGAAAGAGGATCCATTCTTTTTATTTCCCGGGTGGTTATCATGCTGAACAGTGGAGGTAATTTTTGAAATGTTAAAGCCATTTATATACAGAATGGCACCTGTTTATTTCACCTGGAAGTCTTGACCACTGAGCCTAACAAAAAGTAGACCAGGCTCACTTTCTCTGAGTGCAGCAATGTAGACTTTCCCCACAGCATGCAGGTTTCAGGGAGAGTTGTGGCTTCTACACCATCATAAAGATTTCAGTCTAGGGCTTCTGTTCACTGGGAAGAAGTGTTGCTATGTGGAATATGGTAAGTAGAATGACTTCTCATTCCAAAAGACATAGTCATGGTCTCTGTCATTTCTTCTCTTAGGAAAAAGGAGGAGGAGAAAAAGAGAGAAGTATTGAACAATCCCGTTAAAATGAAGAAAATCAAAGAATTGGTAAGTAGTACATCTAGTAAACACCAAGAACATCTTTTAGGTATTGTTTTTCCCTCCATTTACTCTTACCTCATGGTAGGAAAAGCAGAATGGCCTTTAAAAATTGTATTTTTTTTAAGCGTTTTTTTTTTTTTTTTTTTTTTCCTTAGGATGTGTGCACTTGCTGGAGAGAAAGACAGGGTGAGAGGGAAAGTGAGAAATCACCCCCTGAGGGAATGGCCATGCTGCAATCCTTTCTCCTCTGTTTTTCTCCTGGGATCTTGGGCACACACTCACATGCACCTGGTGTGATTTTGAAGCCACCAAGTCTAGGACTTGAACTGTGATTGACCATGAGATAGTCAGTGATGTAATCGCTACACCATCTGCTGCTCCCTAAAAGTGTGTCTTTTGTGGGCCAACCTATGACCTAGTGGTTAATTTAAGGCTACTGGATCCCATGAGGCCAGTTGTATGTTTCAAGTCCCAAACCCAGTTGCTTGAGAAACACGCTGGGCATATGTGCATGTGTGCCCAGAATCCCAGAGGGGGAGAGAGAAGGAGGAGAAGGGTTTGTGGTGTTACCATGGTCCATGGGAGGTGCTTTCTCCTCTCCGTCTTCCTGGAGAAGTGCATGTGCCCTCTAGCACACATGTGCACATGCATGCACACAAAATTACATCTTTTATTTATTTTTATGATAACACATGTGCATGCATGAGAGAGAGAGGGAGAAGCACTCTTGACGAGGTCTTATACCATGATTCCCTTTTTTCAGCCCTCCAGTTGAGGATCTTAGGCACACGCGTGTGCCCTATGTGTTTTTGAGCTGACAGGGATTTTGAACCCACGGTCAGCCATATGGCTTCTAACCTTCAGGGTACCTGTGTTACCTTTGTGCCATAGTGGCGGTACCAAAATTTTGTGTCTTTTAGAGACCATCTTCTGGTGATTTTACACAGGTCTTATTATTTACGTTTTTGTTTTTAATTTATTTAAGTTTCTCATACATGTGTGTATGTATCTGTGTGTGTGTGTGCATAGTTGTCAGGAAACTCATGACATGTTTTTCTATGTTTTCCTGTGCAAAAAATACTTCATGACTTCTCTGATAATTTTTAAAAATTTTTTTTTAGTTTTTTGCTTCAGGGTGTGTGTACTTGCCAGAGGGAAATGGAGAGGAAGGGGAAATGAGAAATTGTCCTTCCGAGGAAATAGCCACACTGCAATAACTTCTCCATTCTCCTCTTGGGATTTTGGGCACACATGCCTGGCATGTTTTCAAGCTGCCAGATCTGGGACTCAAATCATGTAGTTGACCATGTGTGATCCAGCTGCCTTAACCTCCATGCCACCTGCTCCCCGCCCCCTGCCCCCCAGTTTTAATTTATTAAGTTCTATTTCCTCTGTCTTTTGGTTGGGAAAAAACACCACGTGGCATCATCTTTTCCAGCAATGGGAAATGCCTATGGAAAGCCTGATCATGCCCTGTATTCAGAAATCAGTGTCTTTGGTCATGGTCTAAAGCTTGAAGGCTCCATATGATTTATTACATTATTGTTACTTGGACCAGTTGGTAAGAAAAAATTAAAGACTGACCTTATAACCCCTGACTGGTTTTAGTGGAGCTGGGATTCTTTTGACATAAAGTGGAAGTTCTCAGGCAGTGGCTCTGGGAACTGCTGAAAAACACAAATCCCTAAGCCTCATCGGCCAGAGATTCTGTAGAGTCGTCTAGGGTGTGTTTGTGCATAGCCAGGGTTAGGACCCTCCCTGTTCTCTGTCTTGGAACCCATAGACCTAGAGGCCTGGAGGCAGTTTCCATATGACCCAGTTCCCTCACAGCAGATGACAAAGTTCTCCCTGGCTTTGAGTGGTTATGTTCTGGGCATTTTTCTAGTTGCAAATGAGCCTGGAAAAAAAGGAGAAGAAGAAAAAGAAGGAGAAGAAAAAGAAGCACAAGAAGCACAAGCGTAGAAGCTCCAGTAGCGAACTTTCCAGCAGTGAAGATGAGCACCGCGGGAGGTGAGTGTGTGGAGGTGGCCTCCCTCGTCGTGGATTCACTTGATCATCCATTCGTCCACTCCAGAGATAGTAATTGAACACTTGCCCTAGCTGGAACTGCTGGGTATTGGAGTTCTAGTGGTGAGTCCTCAGACATGGGCCCTGTGCAAATAGAGCTTGCCATTAGTTCTCAAATTCCTCAATGCTTAATCTGGGTGGATCTCTTGGCGTGCTGTTTGAGACACGTCCCCTGACAGAACTGACATTAGCTTTGTAGGTCTTAGGTCAGAGATCCTGGGTGGGTCTTAGTTTTGTCTCAGCCATGATTCCTCAGGACTGGAACAAATTTTATGCCAGCTTTTTTAATGGATTAATGGGCCCATGTGAGCCTGTTCGGCACATTTCCCGTGGGAGCAGTCAGTGCTGTAGCTGCTGACTCACTATTAGTCCCGGGAATAGCAGCACGAGGTGAGAGGAGAATGTGTTCAGGCGTTGGGGCTGAGAAGCTCGGCCCACGGGTTTTCACAGGAAAAACTTGACTGTGCTGATGCATCTTCCAGCAGACAGTCCAAA